GCCGCGGTTTCCTTTGTGAGGTAATGAAGAAGATGATACATTTCTTCCCTTTCCCTCTTTGTGTTTTGTTGTTGTGCATTATACATTTACTCAGAAGCTTTGATTCTTTCTTCTAGCTTCTCAATAATGTCTGAAATTTGAAACCATGTTATACATTCATTCTTTTCAGCAAAGAGTTTAAGATGTATACATTGCAAAAAGAGACTTTGAATCTCTGCCGCTTCTTGTATTAATGGGCCTGACTGGTTCTTGTATCTCGGCCCATTATGAGCGTAATGGGCCTATTGTGGGTTAGTACAAGGGATTGATTACAGTAGGAACAAAAGCAATTGAATGATTCAAAACTATAAAGTGGTCCAAAGAGTATCATATTGCCTGCCTGCAACAGAGATTCTGGCAACTGGATCCATACAACTCAGATAACGAAGTCTCATAAGACAAAATCTTATTCCTGAAAATTTAATATCCATATAGTAACCAACTCATTTTCTTCTCGTGACCACATTTTTGTTCATATTAACCTACCATAGGTTATATATTATACACACAAGAACAAATATGTATTGATTATTCCCCCCAAGTGAAAAACGACTTAAGAAATCCAGAAACCAAAACTGTAAAATACAGAGAACATGATAGATAAAGAATGATAATACCAAAGATTGGTTATTAGTATTATTTTTTTGGATTTTGAGTTTTATGTTGTGGTCCAAAGGAGCGAGAACGGTCTCTGACCATCTTGTCTTCCATATGAGAGAAATGGGCTTATTTTTTGAAGCAGAGGGATTGATGGAGAAAAAGAAGCAAGAGCAAGTGTCTTTTTCAAAAGGGGACCAGAATTGGTTTCTTTCTTAAGTAGGCTAAGTGATTGCATCAGTTACGATTATGTCTGACCATTTACCGCCTTTGGAGTTTTTTTTAACATGGACGAGTACTTGTTTTTCTTCTCTTTGGTGAAGAAGCTGTGATTGTGATGCTCTTATCGCTTTCTTCGCAGCTCGAGAATTGCTGATCAAGCACATTTACTTCTGTTTCATTGCTTCCTTCGTTTTCTTCAACTATATCTCTCTCTTGTATTGCTTTGTAACACTCCATTAACTCATCCTGCAAACCACGTTTAATCTCTTAAGGATCGCGTTAAAAGAAAGATCGTTACTTCTTTCGAAACTATTACCTTATTTACATATGTGCATTGACAGATTCTGTTACTGAAACATGGAAACTGTAGAGGACACAGCTCAGAAGCAACAAAGAGAAGTGTTGCGCCTGCAATCACGGATGGTTTAAACTCGAGGAATTTGATATCTGCAAACGTTTTCAAAGATTTTAATGATTAGAGACACATTGATGAAAATGAATTTGATCGAAGAAAAATCGATTTTTTTTGTACCGTGTTGAAGAGTGAAAGTAAGATCAGTGGCTTGAGATGTGAGTGAATGTTTTAGTACTACTAAAGGATCTTCTTTGAGATCAAAGAGACTAATGAAAAAGGCGAAAAACGAGAAAGGCGTGACAGAACGCATTCGCCATTTCAGAGCTCCTAAAATCACATTCTCCATTCTCTCTATCATCTGACTATCAAATATCTCACCTTCCACCTGACAAAAACAAAAATGTTCAGATCAACATTTTAAAAACACATTCACATTGTAAAGATTCACTCTTTAGTTACCGGAAGATCATGAACAGATATGTCTGGTTTCCTCATTTTAGCAGACAAAGAGACACAAGAAAGAGAGATAAGCTTGAGAATCCATGGCTTTGATTGCT